TTGTGACCAATATCAGTGTGATCGCTTTCACTACCTTCGGGGGAGATCTGCCTTTTACAGTTAAGCTCACTCTTTGCTTCATCGGGGTCACTCTTTGCATCGCAACCAAAGAAGCCGTCGCCAACTGGGGCTGTCGACAAGATAAGAAACTCGCAGAACTAGTCAGTACTCAACAGAGACTCATAGTCAATGCAGCACTCAACCCAGCGGACAACACCAACCCAAAAAACAACACCAACCCACAGACCAATCGTCCGACCAGCCGCCCCCACCCCAAGAGCGAAGTTAACGAATCAGGATACTCGACTTCATCCAACTAGTCCACAACACCTTGTCAACACTTTTTGCGTACCAACAACTGACTCCAACAATACATACCAACAATACATACCAGTAATACATACCATTCGATAGAAGGATCACAATCCGGTAGAAGGGTCACCATCGGGCAGAGGGGACACCATCCAGGGGTCACCATCCAGGAGTTATGCTACAGGTTTTATTCTGAAGTGCAAGGAGACTAAGGAGAAAACGAGGCATTTCAGATCTTGAACCAAGTAGTAAAACAGTTTAAGTCCTTCAGGATCATTTGAAACATTCACATCTGCTAATGAACCAAGTTTTGATGTTACATATTGGTATTGTTTCCCGTCCAAGATTAGTTCAAGTTCCTGTCGTCCAACACGATCACTCGCGGGCCACTTAGAATCGGTTTCATTTATAACTTCACTTTGTTCAATTATACCACGAATAGTACTTAGTACTGACTTGGATACAAAAGTCTCTTTCCGAATCATCACGTCATTCTTGTAGTTGGAATTGTTAGCATATCGAAGACGACCATCTCCTCGTATTTCAAACTCCAGAAATTCGTGTCCGAATTTGCCACGATGACCTACACTACGAGGGGAGTAAGGAAGGAAGGGAGGGGGGGGGAGGGGCTGAAGGTGGGCTGAAGGTTTTCTTACTAATATCGAACGTAGAACTCGCCCCCTTCAGGCGACATTTAATATATTCTTCACCGGCAATCACTCATGATCGGAAGGTCCTGCAATGATCGTAACGCACCAATTACAACTGAAGGATGCCGGTCGGTAGACGAGTCCATTCATGCTTTACAACAGGCTATTCTGAACCGCACCAAGGTAGTTACTTACACTAGCCCAGCAGACAACTTTTCGACAGGCGGACGCCGGAGGCATTTCCAAGAAGGAGCAGGGCGCTGCAATGAAGCAAGAACGTAAGTAGTAGGACCTGACCGCACGTTGTCCTACTCACACATTATTGCTCGTAAAGTGTCGATCGCACACGTGTTGTGTTCGCCTGTATTGCGGGTGTGTTTTAGTGAAGACTTTGCAGGACGGGTTGTTGCGATTGAAGTCTGTATTGGCAACGCGTCGGGCGCGCAAGTCTGAGGCGAATCGGTCGTTGCGGGCGGCGCCGGGTGCCGACGAGACGTCGTCTGGAGTATGCGAAAGCGAAAGCAAGTTGATGAGTCGAATCGACGCGGTGCACCGCCAGTTGGCGGTTTTGTCGGAGATGTCGCGGTCGCCGACATCGCCGGCCATGTCGCCGCCGTGTTTGAAACGGCGGGCCGCCCGCGGTCTTGAATTGCGAGGTCTGGACCTCGCTCTGGATGACGTGTTGGAGCCGACGGGAGGCGGGAGGCTGAAAGACGGCGAACCAGTGGAAACAACGTCTGACGGCGAACTCGTCCGGCGGCCGCGTGTTGAGGGGAGACTCATGCGGCCGTTGCCCGAGGTTCCCGGTTCGATTCCAGGTTCTGCCTCAAATCCCGGTCTGGGTATGGGTCTGGGTACAGGTCTCACTGGGCCGAAATCTCTCGGTCCGAAATCTCTCGGTCCGAAATCTCTCGGTCCGAAATCTCTCGGTCCGAAATCTCTCGGTCCGACGAAATCCCTCAATCCGACGAAATCCCTCCTCGGGGCGGGGCAGAGTAACCTGCTGGACCCGAGTGGCTTACTCGATCCCGGCGGCTTACTCGATCCCGGCGGCTTACTTGATCCTGGCGGTAACGGTGTGTCGGTGGTATCTGCCTCGGGTGGCGGTTTGCTGGACCCCGGTGGCAATGGGTTATCTGGCAATGGGTTATGTGGCATTCCGGGTGATAGGTCGTGTGGGGAAGGTGGGTCGTGTGGGGAAGGTGGGTCGCTAAGTGGAGTGAGGTTAGCGCAAGTGGAGTCGGATTTATTGAATGAGTGTGTAGAGCGGAAGAAACTGGAGGCCATAGTGCGTGCGGTGTTGGATGCGAGTAATCTGAACACGGTTCCTACGGAGGAAGAAGAGGATGAGTTGTTGGGTGTGTTGAATCGTGGTAGTGTTGCGGAGAGTGCATTGGAAGCATTAAGTGTAGAGCAATTGAGGCGCACATGTCGACACGTGTTAGAAGACCTCCAGGTTTTGGAGATGGAGGCACAGAAGAACAAGAGGATAGAGGTGGAGGTGGAGGTCGTGTTGCGCAGTTTACGAGACATGAGTCTGACGGTGGAGAAACTACAATTGGGCGAGGGCGCAGCGGCGTTATGGGCGGACCAGGCGTTGAAGATACGTGCTTTATCTCAGAAGAATAAACTGCTCAAGGCCGATCTGGCCTCTCTTAAAGACTTGGTTGAAGGAAAGGTCTTCGTTCTCGCCGGTGGTCAAAATGCACTGGAACAAGGTCTGGCTGCTCTACGTCCGCCGTTAAGCAAACAAACCGCATCCACCAAAGCCTCTCTTAACGATCTTACCGTCGTCGCCACTCTCGATCAAGACACGCCCTACAAACCTGTTGTCGGCGATGAAACTGATGAACGTGTCGCCGCCGTATTGAACAAGGAACGCAACCTACAAGTCTTACCCACACGTGTCGGACCTCATGGCCTCTATCTATTCGGCACTCTAGAGATCCGAATTATTCTCTCCACACGCAGTCGCACCCCACTAGTCTTCCATGGTGGACTGAAGTACAGTCTTAAGAAGTTCATCTCTCTCTTCCAAGCCGAGGAGTATCGGAAGCTACATCAAATCGAAATGGCGCGCAACGACACTTCGAGAAATGACACTTCGAGAAATGACACTTCGAGAAATGATACCTCGAGGAATGATACCTCGAGGAATGACACGTCTTCGCGCAACGAACGGACCGTCGGCAGCGGCATTCCAGCAAGCACACCTAGCAGTGGTATCACCGCCGGACTCCGGAACCCCGGCGGCGGTTCACGATATGTACTGCCGAGCATAGATTCGGCATTACCCGCGGAAGGGAGCAAGGACCTCCGCACCGTTTCTACGGCCGCGCCACCATCCTCAGCAGCGCCGCCCTCTTCCACCGTGCCTCAAACTACAACACTACCCCATATTGTTACCGACGACTACTACCTCGGCGAAATGCCGCTCAATAAACACACCTCCGAACGCACTTGGGGCCGAGGTCGCGCAGCCGAAGAACGACCCGGCGACATGGTCCGGAACGGCGATCCCCGTCCCGCACCCCTCCCAAACCGGAGACATAATCGCAGTCGCGAACGAAGCCTTGGCCGAGATCGAGAACAAGAACGAGAGGAAGCTGCTGGATCTCGAGACCGGGAACGAGGAGATGACGTTACTCGGTCCCGGGCTCTGACGTCGCCTGCAGCGCGACGCGCCGACGACATACGACTCAACGCCTTTACGCAACACTCCCCCGCGCGAGGACTCATCCTCCGCAACTCGCCGTCCGACGCGCGGCGGGTACTGAACTCTGATGTACTCTCTCAGTCGCCTAGCGGCGGTCTCGGGGGTTCCGGAGGTCTCGGGGGTTCGGGAGGTTTGGGCGGTCCGGGTAGTCAAGGTCCGGGCAGCCAGACGCTGAGTGCTAGCCATGTGTCTCCGGCACGGCCGCCGGCAGGATTCACCAATACGCTCGGGCCGCAGCGGTACAAACCCGGTTTCGGACAAATGCCGGGTTACCGAGCCGGTGGTGCTAATGTGCAGTGGCAAATGCAGCAGCAAGTACAACAGCAGGTGCAACCTGCCGTGGGGATGCCGGGGGCGGGGTTGCATCAACAAATACGACAGCCGCCCAGCGGGGGCCTGCAACAACAGCTGGCCGTGCTGCAGCCCGGTTTCACCCCCTCACGTGGCTGGCAAGGCGGCTACGTTGTCGGCCCCTCCTCCACCGCCCTCCCGCAAAGCAACGCCTTAGGACTCAGCACTCCCGGTTCCTTCGGCAGCCCGCATCAGACCCCCTCGCCCTGGAGACCCTCGGAACCCACCGGCGGCACACCCAGCTCGCCGCTCCAACGACCAGGTTATCGCCACCCCGGAAACATCTTTCCGACCAACTGGTGAAGTACACCTCTCGCACTGTGACGGTTTCGCACACCCAGGACGATTCCCCACATCCGGCGTGGCCCGTGTCGCGGAAACGTGCGAGGTGCACGGAACTGTGGAGACGTGTGCAATTGATTCAACATGACTGTGCAACGGTGCCATGAGCTTGCGAAGTCGCTGAAGGCGGAGAAGCTGTTACCTGCGAAGGTGGATCCTTGCGGAGAGGAGCATGGTGAGGCGGGTGCAGTTAAGGCATTGGACCCATACCAGGACTTCGAGCCGTGTGGAAACATTTCCGGTCGAGTGAGGGAGTTGGAGATGAGAGTGGCGGAGGCGTCGGCGAAGTCTGTGAACGAAATGGCGGAGTGGAAGAAACGGAAGGGGGTGAAATTTTCTTGGCTGGTGAAGAATTTCGAACGTGTGCCCCAGCCACCGCTTTCGCCACGTTCGCAATCGAACCGTGCAAAGATGGTGCAGGAATTGAAGCTGAAGTTCGGTGAAGTCAAGCCCGTTCGAGTTGCCGGGATAGACTTCAAAACGGACCTAACCTGCCCTGCAACTCCTGCCATCCCCAAGGTGACCAGTCGTAAAACAGGGGACCTGATATCCCGGCGGCTTTCGGAGATACAATCACCCCCCAGCCTTCGTGGACGCACACCGCTAGACCAGGACCCGGTTGCCTCGATCAAAGACAGCATCTTCCTCAAATCCAGGCAGGCCGCAAGCGTTGACCATGGCTTACCGGGCGGAGCTACGGGGGAAGCCAAGACCGTTATGGTTGAAGCTGGCACTGGTGCCGCTCTGGCTGGTGCCGCTCTGGCTGGTGCCGCTCTGGCTGGTGCTGGGGCCACCGAGATTAAAGCCACAGGTGACGGTGGAGAGAGAGGCCACAGCGTGGGTCGTGGTCGGTCGCTGAGTTCGTGTGGTGCCAGTGGGACGCGGTCAGTGAGTCGGTCGTGCGACACGCGTACAAAAATGGTCCGATCGCGACGAGCTATGGAGCGAGCTATGGAGGCCCGACGGGTGGAGGACGCTGATTGCCGGCGTATGCATCCCGGTTTAGCTATATCAGAACAAAGAGAAGTTTCGGACCATGGGGTGCAACTCGTTTCGCCAGGTCATAATGAGTTGGCGGAAAGTGCATTGAGTGCTGCGAACACGGCGAGTGCTGGACGGATAACGGTGCCATCGGGATTGGCAATGGGATTAGGAGTTGCCAAAATGTGGGAGTGGGTGTTCAAATTCCGACAAAGTTTAGGTGAGGCACACAAAGTGGCAAAGGCCCATGTGCATACATTGACTACCATGTTGGCGGCCATGTCAAATCCGGTGAGTACGAATGTGGTCAAATTCGATTGGCTGGCATGGGAAGGTCTAAGAGCCACAGTTCTGAGTGAGTACAGCCAAATTACTACCGGCTTGCAAAATATGACGCATTGGCAGACAGTAGTTAATCGTCTTGCACAGCAACTCAACGTCCAACTGCTCGCTGCACCCACTGGAGATGATGACCGAACATTCACACTCTCTACAGAACAACAAGCTACCGTTGAAGCCGCAGCTAACTGGATCCTCTCACTCCAATCACTACCCACTGCCCGCACTTGGGACAAACTTCTCAAACGGATGAACGCTCAAGCCGTCGTTAGCGGCGGCGTTGATGGGAAACCACTGCACTTCAACATCGTCTCGCTCTAACCACTATCAAGCAGGTGCGTGCTACATACGTGGGTGCTCAGGCTTCAGGTGCCTGGCCTTGGCCTAGCGTGTCTGGCCCGGGCCAGGGCCTGGGCCTGGGCATCAGGTGCCTAGCTAGCTTTAGGTACCTCACTTTATACTTTATGTGGCGGGTCTTAGATGCCTAAACTTCGACCTCAGACACCACGCGGTTTCGAAACCTTTCCTTCAGCTGTTTTTTCCTTTCCGCCTTCAATTTTGCACCACGGGCGGATGTGCCCACGGGCGGATGTGCCCAAGGTGATTATCGAAGAGAAGGCTAGGGGGTGGTGGGGGGGGG